AACAAACTCCAAATAACCAAAACTTTCAATCTTCCTCTTGACCCATTCACTCTTCATGTTTTGTGACTCAATCTTCTTTCTCACTGTACGACCAATCCATATCAACATATTTATTTTATACTAGATAAAATAAATAGGATAAAAGTGTCCTACCATGCACACCTTTAAATAACCCATTCCCACTTCATTCAATTTACTTTTAAAAATGAAGTAAATGATTCCAAGTTATCCATAAATGTGACAAATTAGAGCAAGTTCTCCTAATATAACTCAACTTTCATTTCCATATAACCAAGTGTATAAAAACACTCATATACAAACATGCTTGCTTCTTTTCACATTCATTCCTCACAAAATACATGTGCTATCTACTACCTTTCTACCAACATTTGCACATCTTAAAAATTCTCTATTCATTTTCTCATCTTTAATAAAAAATTTAACAATATACACAATTTCATCTACTTGTTCTAATTTGTAACATTTATAAGTAATCTCATTTACTGTATTTTTCCTGTCAAATACAACTACCTTGGTCTTTGGTGTATTAATTTGTAGGTCCATACTCCTCACTATATCATACAACCTAACATTTGCTGCAAATCATTTGGGTTCTCAAAAAACACCACACCATGGTCAGCATACAAAATGGCAAGCACATTCAAATCATCACCATAAGCATACCTTATACATTTATTCATAAATATATTAAAAAACTAAGAGGACACCACACATCACTGTCTTATTCCCTGCTCAATGCTGAACATTTGCTAAGCATTCCATTTAGTCTCATGCATGCTTTATTTTGCCATGTACCACTCTTATTCCATTTAGCAACCAATTTCAATTCCGTTCTTGCACAAAATGTTCCATAATTCAAGCTTATTCACTTCAGCATATGCTTTCTCTAAATCAACAAATGTCCAATTACGTTTTGTTTCTTGCATACATTTCCTCAGTAAAAAGACAATATTTCCTTAACTTCTTACTAGTGAAACAAATGTTTACATCAACTTTTCAATACAAATTTATACAAATCATGTGATTAGTAAAATACACAGTATCTACAGAAAGCTTTGGATCACAATCATTTACCTACATTTTCCTTTGCTTCTCTATGCCCTTCTCCTATAGCTCTTAAACTTGACAGGTATAGGTTTTCCAGAGCTTTAATCTTCTCTTCCTGTGTTTTCTGCCATTCTGCCTCCAGTTCTTCTGCCAGCTGATTCAGGTGTTCATCTCTTCGCTGTTTAACATCTTGCCTTATCTGCAAAGCAATATTCCGCTCCTGTTCCCTGACCTGGAAAAAAACATGGTTGGTCAACAATTCTATAGAAGACTTTACCATGCATTCTAGTTGTTATATCTGGATGTCCAGCTGTCCTTTTATTTCAATTGACTACATACAGTCTGTTTTCTTGAGGGACCACTTATCTCTCATAGTATCTGTCTGGCTGATTCAATCTGGCAAGGTTGGAGCATGCTGGCTTCCTTCGATTAAACAACGCCACTTACCCAGAAGCACGCCTTACCTGTAGCAGCACCTGCCTTCTGGAATGCAGCACCCTCACCCTACTGGTGTTTTGAAGGGTCTTGAAGACCTGGCTCTTCACCCAGGCCTTTGGTGAGGGTGACTGAAACCCCCTTCGGTTGTATGGATCTGTCTCTTTTTCATTCCTGTCTGGTTTTTATAATCTTTTATTCCTTATTATTGTCTATTCTTGTACTTTCTTTTTTGCTGTTTTGTTGTTTTTTTTACTTGCGAACCACCCAGAGTTGTTGAGAGTCAAGCCGTATATTAAA